AGAATAGAATAGAATAGAATAGCGGAACGGAATAGAATAGAATAGAATAGAATAGAATAGAAATATAGAATAGAATAGAACGGAACGGAACGGAACGGAACAGAATAGAATAACAAAATAGAATAGAATAAAACAGAATAGAATAGAAAATATGGAATAGAATAGAATAGAATAGAATAGAATAGAATAGAATAGAATAGAATAGCGGAACGGAATGGAATGGAATAGAATAGAATAGAATAGAATAGAATAGAATAGAATAGAATAGAAATATAGAATAGAATAGAATAGAATAGAATAGAATAGAATAGAATAGAATAGAATAGAATAGAATAGAATAGAATAGAATAGAACGGAACGGAATGGAACGGAACAGAATAGAATAACAAAATAGAATAGAATAAAACAGAATAGAATAGAAAATATGGAATAGAATAGAATAGAATAGAATGGAATGGAACGGAACGGAACGGAACGGAACGGAACAGAATAGAATAACAGAATAGAATAGAAAATATGGAATAGAATAGAATAGAATAGAATAGAATAGAATAGAATAGAATAGAATAGAATAGAATAACAGAATGGAACGGAACAGAACAGAACAGAACAGAACAGAATAACAGAATAGAATAGAATAGAACAGAATAGAATAGAAAATATAGAATAGAATAGAATAGAATAGAATAGAATAGAATAGAATAGAATAGAATAGAATAGCGCAGCATAGGAAACTTTCATCTCATCCAGCAAATTTTGCTCCTTGTAATTGACTTCCTGCACCCCCCTCCCTCCAAGTCTTTTTCCAAACCATGCCAAGATTTCTCCAAAACTTGGGCTCAAAAACTAATATTGTTCCGATGGCGCGGTGGTTAGAAAGCAGCCTTGCAGGCGAACGCTGCCCGCTGCCAGGAGTTCGATCCTGACAAGTTCAAGGTTGATCCATCCTTCCATCCTTCCGAGGTTGGCAAAATGAGGACCCAGATTGTTGGGGGCAAATTTGCTGACTCCGTAAACGGCTTAGAGACAGCTGCAAGCCACTACGAAGCGGTATATAAGTCTAAGTGCTACCGCTATTGCTTTTGCCTGGAACGATATGAAAGCCTTGATGAAGCCACCTTTGGTAAAAGATACATGTACTCTGACTTATTTTTTAGATCCTAAATCTATATCCAATGAAAAATAATAATAATAATCAGTTCTGGAGGTAGCACTGAAGTAACTTGCAGAGGAACATGGGCTGTTCCAGCAGGCCTTCATTCAACCTTTTTTCAAAACCTACCTCCGATATGGATCGATGCTGCCTTTTGCTAGCTTCAAGCACCGATTCATTTCCAAAGATACCCACCACTTCCTTTCCAGTGTCAGCTAAATTAAGTGTACCAGCTGTGTCTGCCTATACCACTGTGTGTGTGTGGGGGGGGGGGGGTTGTGTAGGGTTGTGTGTTTTTTCTGTTGTCTTCCAAGCAAGGATGGGGGGAAACAGCTGCTTTTTTTAAAAAAATAAAATAAAATTGAGTTCACTTTTGCATCCCCGTTAGTCATTTCAGCTTGCTGGGTGCAGAATGACTCACCGTCCTTAGAATGTTTTTAAAAATTGATTAATGAAGCCTTGCTTAATGAGAAGCTCTATGTATAATTAAAGCAGAAATATATTTTAAGCTTTCTATTAATTGGTGATTAATTAGAACTAGAGGGGTTTTTTTTTGGGGGGGGGGTTCCCCTCCAGCACAGTGAGAACTGTAGCACATTTATCTGCCAATGCATAGCTGGCTTTCTTCGTGTGATCATGTCAGGAATGCAATATGTAGACTATTTAGGATGTTTCTTTGGCATTAGCTTTAAACAGGTTGCAAAGACAATCCCATCTTTTATTTCCTTTCCAAGTAATACATGCCAGAAAAGATATTCTCCCCCACCCCCCAGCCCCAGCCTATTAATGGCCCTTTCAAACAATGAATCTCTGTTTATAATTGGACAGTGATATAGAAACATGGAAGGTTATTCTTCGTTTTTCTTTGAAAGGCCTCTTCTGAAATACTGTATGCCCGCTTTTGGATACCATAGAACCAGGGGTAGGCAACCTTGGCTCTTTTAGGACTGGTGGACTTCAACTCCCAGAATTCCTGAGCCAGCCATGCTGAAGAGAAAGGGAGAGGCTTCCAAGCTGAGCCATGCTGGCTCAGGAATTCTGGGAGTTGAAGTCCACCAGTCATGAGGGGGCCATAGTTCCCCCATGCTGGCTCAGGAATTCTGGGAGTTGAAGTCCACCAGTCATAAAAGAGCCAAGGTTGCCTACCCCTGCCATAGAATATACGCAGCAAGGTTTCCAGCCTATTGTATATGATAAGAGTTGCACCCAGACAAAGCCTCCGTTACCCATTAGAGAGAATTATATATACTGTATGAAAACGTTTGATTGGCCATGAAGCATTCTACATCATTTTTTAATTCCCCAATTTTCACCCCCTCTGAAATTGGAAGTCTGTTCTGGGCCTGGGCAACAAAAAAATAGCTATCAGTTCTACCGAACTGGTGCGAACTGGCTGAATCCCACCACTGCCCCTATATTGGAACAATTAACCAGTGGAACCACCTGCCTCCAGAAGTGCTGAATGCTCCAATACTGGAAGTTTTTAAGAAGAGACTGGTCAGCCATTTGACTGGGATGGTATAGGGTTTCCTGCCTGAGCAGGGGGTTGGACTAGATGACCTCCAAGGTCCCTTCCAACTTTATTATTATTATTATTATTATTATTATTATTATTATTATTATTATTATTATTATTATTATTATTATTATTATTATTATTATTATTATTATTATTATTATTGTTATTGTTATTAATTTGCCAACGATTAGGGCATAAAATCCGCAAGGACTCCTCCTGAACATAGTTCAGAATCCGTGGGAAGACTTGTTTACATTTTACAGCAAAATCCAAACCTATTTTCATTTCACGCTGATGAAGAGAAAGGTTCAAGAATATCTGGTCTCCAGGAAACACTGTGTGTGTATGTGTGTGTGTTTGTTTCTTTTTTTTTCTTTCTTTAAATAAAATAAAGGTGCTTTGATAAATCTTGGCAGACAGCCCAAGGCAGGGAAAGAGAATGGTTGGAAAAGGAAACATAATTACACGGGTTTTGTGTAATAAGCAAGCATGCTCACTTTAAGTTATCTTCACTTTCTGTAAGAAGCTTCTACCTACTCATTTATTAAATTCAAAAACAAAAAACAAAAAAACCCACCTCATCTCAAGCTTATTTATGCTCTCTGGTACACTGGCTTTGTTAAGCAGCATCCGTATGTTTATTAAACTTTAAGGGGGATTGTTCAGCTTGACATTTTCTTGTTGCCTTATTTGTAAATATTGGCCAAGAGAGACCAAGAAAGGGACTTCACTGGAAGAGGTGGGGTTTATTTCTTTTTTTTTTCCCCTTTTCTCTTATTATTTACTAGCTTTACCCGGCCACGCGTTGCTGTGGCTCAGTCTGGTTAAATGGAAAAGAAAGAAAAGAGAAAGCTTTTGTGTCCAACAGATGGCGCTGTTTTTCAAAAAAGCATGTTTTCACCTGTCACAGGTGTGACATCTATATAATAGTAGGTATATAGAAACACGCACATATTCGAATGCAACGTTGTGTCAAAATTTCAAAGCAACCGGTGAAGAACTTTCAGAGATTTAAGATTTTGAACAAACGAACATTTACATTTTTATTTATATAAAATTTACAATTTTATGATTTTTTTACCGGTAAACCATCCAGAGCAGTGTTTCTCAACCTTGACCATTTTAAGGCA